AAAGATACAATTTCATAAATAGGAGTCTGCTAAGAACTCAGTATTGAGATAATTCTATATATGACCATCGGTAGACTCAATTAGAATTTCTATTCTTAACGGAAATTACCAAAAATTCATATTGTGTTTGTGTCCTTGTTCCACATAATCTTATTATGCGTAATACACTCATTCAATGTCTCACCATATTAACAGTGTAGATAACATCGTTCCATTTTAAATAGGAATGACATGTATTAGTAATATTTTAATTAAAGATTCTGAACTTTAATTAAATTCATTACGAACACCATTTTTTATTATTATCCTTAAACATTATCCTCTCGTATATAACACTTATATACAACGTTTAAGGTCACATAAATAATCATGAAATTTTCATTGATATTCATAAAATATTTATAAATATATGCACATAAAATAATGAATAAACTCTTTTATTAAATAAATAATAAATATCCTATTACATCTTATACTTTTAGGACACCAATCCTAACAACCATGTCACGTGACCCATCATGTGACTCTTTTTTTCAGTAAAATGACTTAAATACCCCCATTAGAAAAGCCTTTTTTCCCCAAATTTCATCTCCAAATCCAAACTGGATTTGACCCATTCCTCTTATCTCTGTGGATTGGTTCTCTGGATTATTCTTTTTCTGTTGCTACCACTTCCAACAATTTCACTAGAACCAATAGTAATAGATTCATTTCCTGATGTTGATAGCTAGCATGTCTTTTGCTTGGGCTTCTCTATCTTCTTGTGAGAGTCGCCATGGCGGCTCGATCTCGTCCTCTGCTTCTGCTTATGGCGGCGGCAATTACACTGTCTGCGATGGTCATTCACCACTTCTCCGATGAGTCTAGGCTTCTTAGGGCTCCGAGGAATGGGAGCGGGAATGGCAGAGAGCTATTTGCCTTTTCTTCTTCTTCTTCGGCTTCTTGGCCTCATAGAGCAGTGTTGAGTATTATCAGATGTTTTTCGCTATCGATGTTCAGAGGCAGAAGATGAAGCTCGACTCTCAATTCCAGTTTCTGTTCCCCTCCGAGGGTAGCCAAACAATTTCGTTTGGCGACGATTTCGGCTAGTCAGTCTTCGTATTTTCTCAACAAATTTCAAGTTTAAACTACATTTTGCTTATTTTCTTTTTCTCTTGTCTATAAGGTAAGAAATTGACAATTTGAACAAACCTAGAAGTTAAAACAATAATTGTTTGAAATGGCTTTGAAAGATTGCTATAAGAAACTAATTTTTTGTTTTTTGTTTTTTGTTTTTATGTTTTTTGATTGGGAATTTACTTTGAGCATATGGTCCAGTTTGGGCAAGATCTTGGTAGGAGGAATGGGCAAAATCCAGTTTGGATTTGGAGATGAAATTTGGGAAAAGAATAAGAAGAAGAAGAAGAAGAAGGCTTTTCTAATGGGCACATTTAAGTCATTTTACTGAAAAAATAAGTCACGTGATAGGTCACGTGACACGTTCTGTTAAAAGTTTAACATAATTTGACAGAAATGACTAAATTGTCACCTTTTAAAGAGTTTGGGGGTTGTTTTGCAAAAAAAAAAAAGATTGACCAAACTGTCACTTACTAAAGAGTTTTGAGACCATCTGTGCATTTTACCTGTTAACGTTTATAAGTAACTTTTTCAAAATTGTTTTACTACAACCTATTAATTATTTTTGGAGAAAAGTAAGGCGCCAGACTCAAGTTCTGGTCCTCGTGAGAGGGTGTGGGTTCTAATCCCACTTTTGATATTTAATTACATGTGCGTTTGGAATTAGTTTTAAAATGATTTTATTTCAATAAAAAGTAAAAATGAGATTGTTTTGAGAATAATGTTGTGACCGATTTTGAAATTGTGTTTTATTAGTTTTTTAAGATATTATTTTGAGTATAATAAAAAAATAAAATCGTGTCTATTAATTAATATATTATAATATTATTGATAAGTACTAAAAAATAAAAATAAAAAAATAAAAATAACTGTCAACTGTTTTTTAATTTATTTACAAAAACCATTCTCACTATTTTTGTTTTTAAAATATTTACTCAATAAACGTCATTTTATTTTTATTTTCTTTTTATTTTTTGAGATACGTGAAACCTGTTTTCAAAACCGATTCCAAACCCTCGTAGTTTTTCATCTTCATTTTGCTTTAGCTTAAAAAAAAAACAAGGTTTTTTTTTTTTTTTTTAAAGAACCAAAAAACATAGTTGAGTAGACAAAACAGAGCAAAGGACACACACGAATGCTGCGCGTGGAGTCAATTCCCACTTTCACATTTTCTTTTCGTTTTCATTTATTCAACTTCAATTTTTTTTCTTTTAAGGAAAACTTCAATTTGTTTGGCATGTCAAACCTTTTTTTTGTTTATTTTTTTATCCCCTAATTCTACATTTTCTTTTAGCCTTATTGCTTTAGCCAATTAAACAAGAAACACCAGTAGAACATTGAACTCCCACTTCTAGCATTTTTCTTTTGATTTTAAACTTAAAATTTGTAAATTATATTGAAACATAGTAACACATTTAAATTATTATACAAATGACAAATATAATTGTTATTAAAATGTTACTACATCATTTTTTTAAGTTCAAGTACTACATAATTTTTAGCATAAACAAATATCATCAAAATAATTATAATGTAATTTTTGTTATTCCTAAAGTGTCTCAAAAGAAAACTATTATTGCAACTCCAATCTCACAAGTTTTTTTTTTTTTTTTAAGGAAAAACTTCAATTTGTTTAGTATGTCAAACTTTTACAAGGTAGTGTAAGTTTTACAATTATACAGACTTCATAATTATTATTGCAACTCCAATCTCATAAATTTACAAGGTAGTGTAAGTTTTACTTATCTTTGCAACTTATTCTTTGAGTCAAAATTTCAAAACAAGACACTGTTTTGAATATATTAGAGTGAATGCCACCATTTTTTATTGCATAACTTATAACTCTGTAATTTGACAAATACCTATTAAAAGTGCATGAGTCATGATTTTTACCATTTACTATTGATTCATAACATTTTTAGTTAAATAATTACACTAATAAAAGGGTATTTATTAAGAATAAAGAGTAAAAATCCAGACTTATGCACTCTCAAGAATAAATTCTTCATTTTTTCTAACTTAATATATAAATAACCTCCAAATAAGAAACCCATTAATATTTCATAATGCCTAATTGATATTTTGCAACCTATACCATCTTCTTAAACTTTGACATTTATGGAGGCTATATAAGCATTTTTTTAAAGGAATATGACCATGTATTTTGATTATCCTTACAAGTGAAAAAAAATACAGACTACAAAGTTAATTATATGAGTAGTTGTATTTACACTCATAATTTTATAAATACACCCTAAAAATTAATATTTCCTAACATATATCTAAAACAGCAATCTTTTTATAGAAATGTTCTATGTGATTTCCAATTTAACCCTCACATACCCCACCCACAACGAACACTTTCATTTTTATTTTATCATGTTTTATAAAATAAAAAAATAATAAAATTAACCAATCTCAACAATAATAAAAGCTTTTCTCATTCTCAAAAAAAAAAAAAACAAAAAAAAAAACAACCTCCATATGCTGAGAAGAAAAACACTTACTGTGTGCAAGCATAGCATAACAAATGAGCTTTGAAATCTTTTCAATATAAATATTACAATTGAAATACTTCAAAAAGTGTTAACAAAACTAAAAAATATGATTTTGAAACCCATCTCTTCTACATTGTTATATAAAAAATCAACCAATATTTCTATTTATAACTAATGTGGTTTATAATAAAAAGATGTATTATACGTTATGTGGTTTACATATAAAAAAATGTATTCTTAATGGGTTTTAATGTAATTTTAATGTAGCGTAAAATTATAATAAAAGCAAATTTTAATTTAGTGATAGTATACATGAATATTAGAGGTGCAAACAGAATTTCTCTAACTTTATCCCTTATATTTTTCGTATTTCTCTTTTTTTTTTCTTTATTCTTGAGTTTCTTGATATATATAAGTTCTTACTATTACTTTGTAATGCGTAAAGTCAATTTTGATAATTTCCGACTTCAATGTGATTTTCTTTATCAATTACATTTTTTATTAAAAAAAAGTCATACACCGCCACGAGGAAGACTGACAGGAAAAAAAAAAACAAAAAACGAAAAATAAAGAATGCATTTAGAACTCGTTCTAAAATAATTTTATTTTTTATATAAAAATGAAAATGAAAATGAAAATATTTTCAATCTCAGACAGAAATTATTTTTAAAAATGCGTTTAGTAGTTTTATCAAAAGATTATTTTCAATATAAAAAAATCTATTAATGTCTCTCTATGCTCGAGAGAGAAGAAAACAAAAACAAAAAATAAAAAACGACTAAAAATCATTTTTCATTTCTCTCCCCTTTTACCCTAAACCAAAACATAATTTTTTTTTTTTTTAGCTTTAATTGTGCTAAACACTTTTTGTCTCCCGTTTTTATTTTTTTTCTCGAAAAACATAAAAAAAAAAAAAAAACAAAAAACAAAACCAACTCTAAATACGGCGAAAAAGCATCGAGTGTGAAAAGAAAAAAAATAAAAATAAAAAACAGAAGTATCGTCTTTCAACGTTAATTTGTTTAATCTATTGTTTCATTCAATTTCGAAAAAAAAAAAAAAAAAAAAAAAAAAAGAAAAAAGGCAAATATGAGAAGGAGCAATTAACCCGTCCTTGATTCCTTGGTTCTCTTGATTCAGAGAGCCGTAGGTAGAAGCTGAACTGAAGTGAAGAGCCACCCTAAAAATCCAAAAACCATTCATGTAATGTTAAATATTCACAGTACGTGATGCCCCTCAATCACTTGGAAGAAAAATAATTCAAGTTGACCATCCATCGATTTAATAAGGTTTATCCGTTCCCATTCCGTTAAATCCGAGATTGAATTGTTTAGGTTTTATTAGAGACAAAATTGAGGGAAGGAATATATCCTTGCATAACAAAAATTTTCAAAACAATCTTAAAATATTTTGCAACCTTGGGATAAATAAAAAAAGTCAAAATTCATATTCAGCCATAACGACGAACAGAAACTACACGAATGAAGTTTTAGAGCTGGTGAAAACGAGAGAAAACAACATAAGCTATCCAGATAAATTAGACCAAGGTTTTTCAGGCAGCAGCTTTTTGCTTCTTGGGCACGCGGTAGGCACCAACCACACAGGCATGGTCACGTTCGAAGGGCTCGAGAGTCACTTGTTCAGTAGGCTTGAATTGCTCAGCCTGCAACTTCTTCACTTCCTGTTGAAACACTGCCTCAGCAGCAGTTGGCCTGAAAAAATGACAAGGTTTTCATCAACAAAAGATGGCCAAAAAAAAAAGAAGCTGAAATAGCCGAACACCACTCAAATCACAAGACTGAGAAAGTTGGGAGAAACAAACCTTAATAGAAATCACAAAGTGACCTCCCGCTTTCAAAAAATAACTAGCATTTAGTGCTAGAATTCTTGCCTGAAAAGAAGAAAATGAAACGACAAATGAAATCTCAGATACAAAATCACAAACCTGAGGAGACTGGCGGATTTCAATGCTAAAAACTAGCAACTTAATGCCAAATGTGAATTAGTTATACCTGAATAACTTTCTCCAGGTTTTATTAGTAATGAAAACTTCTTCACTGACCAGACCTTACATTGCTTTTTGATTGTTTGTCTAAGTTTAATCTCGATTATAGTCAATTCACATCACATCTTGTCTCATAGTGTTGGTAGACTATTAGTTTAAAAAAAAATATGTTCACAATAATATGAAGCAGAGATTAACAAAGTCAAAATAAACAAAATGAAGTAAATTAATGCAGTAAAGCTATCATAATCCAGATTGAGCATCAGAATCTCGGTTTAGCATCACCCATAATGTCTTGAAGGGGAATCCGAGAACTTCGTCACATGCTAAGTGCTCCAGAAAACAAATAACCAACATACAAAAAACAAAAAGCAAACAAAGACACAAGAAATCCAAAATTACAAAACTTGTTTTAATAGGATAAACAATAGAAAATCAACTACTCACTCCAAGAAGAAATAATAATGACTACCAAAGAAACTTAGAACTCTTTATATTATAAAAAGGGAATAAACTAAAATCTGCATCAGAAAACTCGAATGTGCATCATCCATGATGTCCTGAAGGGGAATCCGAGTAACTCATCATATGCAAAAGTATATAAAGAGCAAAACACACCATTTTAAAACAGACAGATAAAAAACCAACAAGAAACAACAAACCAAAGAATCCCAAGTAAAACCAAAGAAATTTTTTATGGCAGAGAATCAAGAAAATACACAAATAGAGTTTCAACAGAAAGCTCACAAACTTTAAAACAACGATAGCCACTATGGTAATTATTAACAAGTAATAATTAGCACCAGCGCAAACACTAAAAAGTGTGAGGTAGTACATATAAAAAGAAACTTGCAGCAATGCCAGATTAAAGACAAAAATCATGTATATCAATAATGAACCATTGAAAACAAAGTAGCCAACCTGATCAGGTTGAGCAACATCAGAAAATATAACATCTACCATGCCAACCAACATCCTGTACTTAGCAGGATGTCTGGCATCCTCAATAATGGGAATCACATTCGTCCGCTTTTTGGCCATGTTGACCAAATCTCTACCACTTCTGTGAGAAAATTCCACCGCATAAACCACCCCAGTCTAGAAACAAAACAAAACAAAACAAAACCCATTGTTAAAAAATCATTCTAACATTAACAATACAAAGTTTAGCGTTCAAAAATACTAGGCAAAGACTACTTACAGGTCCAACAATGTCAGACACGTGAGAGACTGTGGTTCCTGATGCAGCCCCAAGGTAGAGAACCCGAGCACCAGGTTTCTATATTATAAAAAAGTAGATTAACATACAGAAAAAATAAAAATCAAATTATATAAAATCATTCATTCCTTCAAAACAAAAGAACACAAGATAGAGTCATTACAATCCAAACGTCATCAACTCCACCAAGAATGGCGGCTGCTAACTTCGAACGGAACGGGTTCCACACCCGATACTCGACTTTAGTACCATCTTCCTTCTGAACCCAACATAATACTTGGTTAGAAAAAGAAAACGTAAATAATATTCGTAAACATGTACAAAAATGATCGTATTAAATTAATTTTTTTAAATAGATATCCTTAGTTTTGTTAAAGTCCCCAATGATTCACCAAAAAATATCAATAATTTATCAGATTTTAAACAAACCATGAAATATTTACTAAAAATAAAGAAAAGTAAAAAAAAAAAAAAAAAATTTGTTGACATTTTAAGGGGCTCAAAGAAGAGGAAATAGGTGAAACCTGAACGGAAATCCTCTTCTCGTTGTAGACAGCTTCACCAGGGACCATGTTCAAGGTGACGAGAGCGTCTTCTTTGCCCTTCGCAATGAAGACTCCGTCGTGCCTATGAGGCTCAACCACCACTCTGCTTCCTCCTTTCATGCCGCCAGGTCTTCCTCGGTCTGATCTCCCGCCGCCACGGCCTCTGCCACCGCCACGGCCTCTGCCACCGCCGTCGAATCTTCCTCCTCCTCTGCCTCTCCCTCCTCCTCTTCCTCCTCCATCGCCGCGACCGCCCCTGAATCCGCCGCCACCACGTCCTGCGAAAAATGCAAAATCAAAACCGATCAGATCATCAAGACAGGTCAAAGAGAATCGAAAGGTGAATCGAATTGAAAGTAAGGAAAGTTGTAGTTACCTCGAGGAGGTCTCATTTTTGCTAGGGTTAGCCGCAGGAGAATTAGGGTTTTAGTTACAGAACGAAGTTTTGCAAGTCGCCGCTTGCTAGGGTAAAGGGTTTAAGGAGTGGCTGTGCTTTTATAATGGTTTAGAGGGTTAACGGGTTTGAGCCTTAATGGGCTAGCGGGTGCACAGCCCAATTCTATCCAGGACTCGTTTGTTTCAGGGAAAATTCACCAATTATCATATTTTAGAGGTGCAAATAAATTTAATAGCATATTTTTTAAAGTCAGTAAATTATAATATATGTGTATTTCTTTTCAAAATAAATTACTCTTTTCCATTTTTACCCTTCTTTATAGGGTTTTCATTTTTCTTTTTTAGAGCGATCTATTTCTCTTTCTTCTCTCTCTCCCCCATCGTTCCAATCTGCTTTCCCTCGTATCTCTTCTATGTACGCTGAGCTTGGTTCTCCTGTCACCGGAGAAGAAGAGCAACAGGTGGCAATGGTGACGAAAGGACAACGATGATTGTTTTCTTCATGAAGCCTCTAAACTCCACCTTTATTTCGAGTTCTCTCTGTGAAGCCTCCAGAGCCAGCCATCGCGACCAGATCCGTCCAAATCTCATTGTTTTTGCCAACCATATCCTGGAGGTCATCAGAGATCAGAACTAATTCTCGCCGATTTGGGGGCGATTGTGTTGGGAATGGTGTCCTAGAAGCATGAGATGTAATAGGATATTTATTATTTATTTAGTAAAAGAGTTTATTCATTATTTTATGTGCATATATTTATGAATATTTTATGAATATCAATAAAAAATCCATGATTATTTATGTAACCTTAAACATTGTATATAAGTGTTATATACAAGAGGATAATGTTTAAGGATAATAATCAAAAAGTAATGTTCATAATGAATTTAAATTAAAGTTCAGAATCTTTAATTAAAACATTATTAATACATGTCATTCTCATATAGAATGGAACGGTGTTATCCGCACTGTTAATATAGCGAGATATTAAATGAGTGTATTTCGCATAATGAGATTATGTGGAACAAGGACACATACACAATATGAATTTCTAATAATTCCGTTAAGTATAGAAATTCTAATTGAGTCTACCGATGGTCATATATAGGATGATCTTAATCCTGAGTTCTTAACAGACTCCTATTTATGGATTTGTGTCTTTTGATTTACTCGGTACGGATTCTGAGATCCTGAATCCTATTCCTTGTATTTTGGAGACATGATGAAGTAGGTAGCCGGGAATGTTATTACACGAGATGGAATCCATTCCTTCTTAAGAAAGAAGTAGATAAATAATTCTCTTGAAGGTTGATTCGGTACTTGGACTAGTAGGAGCTCCGATTCATGAATGTGTTTTATGAATCACTGTCCATTAGAGAATCAATGGTACTCAAGGATAAAGAAGTAATTAGAGAGGTTAACGGATTTTACCTTGCTCTAATTATGAATTATTTATGGAAGATTGATCTATATGCAATGACTATATCAAATAGACACTTCACAGTTTA